GGCGGGAAAACTCATAACTCGGGAGTGAGAAAAGCTAGAAAGTTGAAACTTTGGGGGAATGTTCCCCACTCATGTACGACCAAAAGTTTTCAAACTCAGCTCCTTAGTACAGCCCGAGGCTCACGTACGTGCACGTGAAAATTACTAACCCAGGAACAGTAAAAGCTGGAAAGCTGAAACTTTAAGGGAATGTTCCCTAATCAAGTACGAAAAAAATCAGGTGTTTAGAAGCGCCCAAGCTCAAATACGAGCGCGTGGAAATTTTGGCGCGAAAATTACTAACCCTGGACGGGAAAAGCTAGAAAGCTGAAACTTTCGGGGGATGTTTCTTATTCATGACCATAATCAGGTGTTTGGAAGCACCCGGGGCCCAGGTACAGGCACATGGAAATTTTGGCGCGGAAATCATTAACTCGGGAACGAAAAAAGCTAGAAAGCTGAAACTCCAGGATAAGGTTCCCTACTCATGTATGACCAAAAGATTTTAAATTCATCTCTTTAAAATCGTCACGTAATCACGTAGGGACACGTGAAAATTTTGGTGGGAAAACTGTCAATTCACGAACGAGATAAGCTGAAGGCTTTAATTTTAAGGGAATATTCCCTACTTATGTGCGACTAAAAGATTTCGAATTTAACTCTTCTAGTGTGGCTTTTTTTGCGGACTAGCACCTTTCCATTTGCCGGGTCACTGAAACCGACGTCTACAAATGACATACCACATAGTTGCACAATTAACTTCCCGAACTTCGAGGGTCAGTATGTGACAGGTCAGATACTCACAACTGACATACCACATAGTTGCACAATTTACTTCCGAACTCCGAGGGCCAGTATTTCACAGGGTTAGCTACACTTATTTCCTTGCGACTTGCTACGGCACGAGAAGTGCAAAAACGCATAATCGCTCCGGCCCGCCTGGTGCGTTCCAGCCTGAGTTTATTTTTTATTTTTTCTGCATCTGTGCAATGCAAGAACGCATTTGTGTAGGATTTGCCTATATGTTTGTTTATGTCTGCATATGCGTCTCTGACAATTTTTCATCTCGAGATCAACAAAATCTACAAGTCTGAAACCTCGGAAATTTAACCATCATGCATATACAGACTCCTATCCTCGAAATAGACGCTATTACTCACGTGGTTCCGAAGTGCGGGCAGATGAAAACTTTTTCCGCGTAAATTGCTAACTTGGGAACCAGAGAAGCTAGAAAGCTGAAATTTAAAGGAGATGTTCCTCGTCCACGTAGAACTTAGTGACTTTAAACTCGGCCCCCAGGTATGCGTGTTGCTCACATACAATCAAGTGAAAATTTTTTTAGCAAGTTGCCAACTCGTGAATCATAGATGCTAATTGGCTGAAATTTTAAGGGGTTGTTCCTCGTCAAGGTAGAACTTGGTGGCTTTAAACCCAGCCCTCAGGTTTGCAGATTTCTCAAGTCCGAATAAATGAAAGCTTTTCTTGCAAGTTGCAACTCGTGGACTGAATAAGCTGGAAAACTGCAGTTTTAATTGGATTTTCTGACAGTCGTGGTGGTTAGCCTAAATTCTTCTTGCTGGGAGCGTGTGCCGGAAAAAGCAGTGCCGGTAGCGGCAAATACCTGCGGAAAGCTGTGCAAAAAACGCATCTTCACACCAGCAGCCGGTGTGCTGGTCAGTTATTCTTCTTTTACATAATTTGCTGAGTCTTATTCTTCAAAAAGCAAATGGATTTTATAAATCCTGCTTTTTCGCGCCCAACTGCACTTTAGCGTGGCGAAGGCGATTGTGATAGAATTGTCAGATGTCAGAACCGTATTATGCGTTTTTTGCAACTATGCAATGCAGAATATGCATGTTGACGAGGGGTTGTCTGTGTGTGTCACACACTTTCATCTCAAGACCTATAAAAACTGCGGGGCTGAAATTTCAGGAACTTAATCTACATGCACGTGCCGGTCGCAATCCCCAAAATGGGTGCCAAAACCCGCGTTGTACTCGCGTACGGACCTGCCAAAGTTTCTTCGGGTAAGAGGATCTGAGAAGCTAGAACGCTGGAAAGGGTAATGTTCCTCGTCCAGCTGGGTATTAATGCTCTCAAACCCATCACCTGGTTAAGCGTGGTACCCGTGTACGGGCTTGCCAAAATTTTTCACGGGTAAGCTCTTAACTCGGGGATCTGAGAAGCTGGAGCGTTATGTTCCCCGTCCAGCTGGGCATTATTGCACTCAGGGTATGTGTGGTACCCGCGTACGGGTCCGCCAAGATTTTTCTCGGGTAAGTTCATAACTTTCGGATCTGAGAAGCTAGAGCGCTGGAAATTTAAGGGAATGTTCCCCGTCCATCTGGGCATTAATGCACTGAAATCCATCCCCCGGATAAGTGTGGTACCCGCGTACGAGCTGCTAAAGTTTTTTTCAGGTAAGTTCATAACTCAGGGATCTGAGAAGCTAGAGCGCTGAAATCTTACGGTAATGTTCCCCGTCCAACGGGGCATTAATGGACTGAAACCCATCCCCCGGATAAGTATGGTACCCGCGTACGGGCCCGCCAAAATTTTTCTCTGGTAAGTTCTTAACTCGGGAATCTGAGAAGTTGGAGTGCTGGAAACTTTGGGGGAATGTTCCCCGTCCAATTGGGCATTAATGCACTGAAACCCATCCCCCGGATAAGTGTGGTACCCGCGTGCGGGCCCGCGAATACTTTTCTCGAGTAAGTTCTTAACTCGGAGATCTGAGAAGCTAGAGCGCTGAAACCTTAGGGTAATGTTCCCCGTCCAACTTGGTATTGGTGCACTGAAACCATCACCCGTTTAAGCGTGGTACCCGCGTACGGCCTGCCAAAGTTTTTTTCGGGTAAGTTCGTGACTCAGGGATCTGAGAAGCTAGAGCGCTGAAAACTTAGGGGATTGTTCCCCGTCCAACTGAGCATTAATGCGCTGAAACCATCCCCCGGGTAAGCGTGTTACCTGCGTACGAGCCCGCTAAAGTTTTTTTCGGGTCAGTTCTTAACTCGGGGATCTGACAGAACTGAAGCCCATCCCCCGGATAAGTGTGGTACCCGCGTACGGGCCCGCCAAAACTTTTCTCGGGTAAGTTTTTAACTCGGGGATCTGACAGGCGAGAGCGCCGAAATCTTAGGGTAATGTTCCCCGTCCAACTGGGCATTAATGCACTGAAACCCATCCCCCTGGTAAGTGTGGTGCCTGCGTACGAGCCGCTAAAGTTTTTTTTTGGGCAAGTTCATAACTCAGGGACCTGAGAAGCTAGAGCGCTGAATACTTAGGGTTATGTTCCCCGCCCAGCTGGGCATTAACGCACCCAGGGTATATGTGGTACTCACGTACGGGCCCGCCAAAATCTTTCTCGGGTTTTTAACTCGGGGATCTGACAGGCTAGAGCGCTGAAAACTTAGGGGAATGTTCCCCGTCCAGTTGGGCATTAATGCACTGGAACCCATCCCCCGGGTAAGCGTGGTACCTGCGTACGGGTCCGCCAAAATTTTTCTCGTGCGAGTTCATAACTTTGGGATCTGAGAAGCTAGAGCTCTGGAAACTTAGGGGAATGTTCCCCGTCCAACTGGGCATTAATGCACTGAAACCCATGCCCCGGATAAGTGTGTTACCTGCGTACGGGCCCGCCAAAGTTTTTCTCGGGTAAGTTCATAACTCAGGGATCTGAGAGGTTAGAGCGCTGAAAACTTAGGGTTATGTTCCCAATCCAGCTGGGCATTAATGCACTCAGGGTATGTGTGGTACCCGCGTACGAGCCCGCCAAAATTTTCCTCGGGTGAGTTCATAACTCCGAGGGGCTAGAACGCTGAAATCTTAGAGGGATATTCCCCATCCATGTGGCTGATAACTCAGGAGCTCGGGAAGCTAGAAAGCTGAAATTTTAAGGGGGCGTTTCCTGCCAGTTCTGGCGGCAGCTTAATTTGTTCGGCTAGATGCATCTGCCAGAAAAATCTGCGGGAGGCTATGCAAAAAACGCATCTTCACTAGAGCAGCCTGTACTTTCCAATTATTTTTCACATTGTTTGGGAGGTGAAGGGGCGCATGTTCAACATCCGTTTTTATGGCAACTACTAAAACTCGGTTCGGTTCGGCACGGCTCTTCTCGGCTCAGCTAGCCCTCGGTTGCCTCGGCCGGTCTCGGCTACCTCGGCCGCCTCGGCTCGCATCGGCCGGCCCCTGGCAGCGGCATTATCGTGAAGCACAGAGCGGGAGAGCGGGACGGGGAGGTGAGGGGACAGGCAGGGGGAGGGGGG